CCTATAGCCCACAGTTGTTACTTATCTTTATATTTCTGTTCTATTTTTTTTAATGGGCCTTCTCTTATGGGCCTGTTAAACTCTTTTATTTTGTTTAATTAGCTAGCCGCCCAATTAAGGGCCTACTTGTAATTTCAGAAAATAGTGATTAATTCTTAATGAAAAGATTAGGGAAAGGAGGGGATGTACGAATAACTCTTCTCCTCGCCCTTCTCACGACCAAACTCTTCTTCTTCTTCTTCTTGCTGCTGCTATCTCCTCTGTTTTTTCCCCTTTTTTAATCAGTTCTCTTATTCCTTTTAGATTGTTTTCTTCTTGGTACCAGAGCAGGTTCCTTTTCTTTCTTTACCCTTTTTTTCTTTTTTTTTCCCATACACTGTGTATGGAGAGTTGAATCGAATGATTGATTGAAGAAGATATTCAGCCCAGTTGGTAGTGGTTTTTTGGAGAAAAGAAAGATATCCTATTCAACGTTTTGACAGTCTTTGGAATTTGTGCCCAAAACCCTAATCAACTAGAGAGTTCTGATTGCAGGTTCCACAGGAAGATTCACCTTGGCGCTCAGTGGCTGAAGGGGTTCATTTTGTTAACCTTGAAGATCAATCCAAGCTTTGTGGAGTTCTGTGAAGCCTACAGGGAGCGGCTGTCTTTTTTCTATTTCTCTCGGGTTCTGGGTGAGACACAGTTGGCCGTTAGGGATCTGTAAAGGTTGGAACTTGGTGTTTTCTATTTCCTGTCATCATTATTTGTCATCTGAAATTGTTTTTGGAGTTGTTCGAGGAAGATAGATGTCTCTGGAGTTGAAAGTAAGTTGGGCTCAGAGTCCGGACAGGTCCCGGGAGCACTTGTAGACTCTTTAATGGCTGTGACCAAAGTCAAGCTTGATGGGACTAACTATCTAGCATGGTCACAATCAATAAAGAACATGTTTGTAGTAGAGGCAAATGGGGGTATATTTCCGGGAGCAAGAAAGCACCAAAGGAAGATGACCCATCTTATGAGAAATGGTTGCAAGAGAATTACACTATTATTGGGTGGTTAGTGAATTTGATGCAACCACAAATTAGTTAGCACTATTTGTGGATGAATTCTGCTAAGGAAATATGGGATAGTGTTGCTGAAACCTATTTATAAAAACTGCATGTGGCCAGAGCATATAAGTTAAGAAGAGATGTGAATAATCTAAGGTAGGGGGAGAGACCTTTAGCAGTCTACTTCTCAATGCTGAAATCCTTGTGGCAAGAGATAGATCTCATGGAAACAGTTGTCTAGGGAAAGTACAAATGATGCGGAGACATATAGAATATTAGTTGAGAGGAATAGGGTTTTTGAATTCCGGATAGGGCTGAATCTAGAGTTCGATATTACCAGACAGGATATCCTCGCTAAAGACAATGTATCTTTGTCTCAAGCTTATGCCATGGTGAGCAATAAGGAGAGCAGAAGGCTGGTTCAGGTTAAAGAACTATTCTAGTTGACCATTTTGCTAATATGGGGTTGAAACCTAAGATGACTACAGGTGGTACAGGGAAGAAGGAGGTTATATGTGAATATTGTAAGAAACCAAGACATACAAAGGATAAATATTGGAAGCTACATCCAAATCTTATTCCACCTCGTTTTCAAAAGAAGGTCAAAAATGGGAAGACCGGGAGTCCCAATATAGCCACAGTTTTAGATAAGAAATATGGAAGGATGATCAGCCACCTTGAGAGTGCAGCCACCTCCTCCAACTCTTCAGGCAACCCAACTACGTCTACATTTGCTCATTCAGGTATACGTGCTACTGCCAACCATGTAGCCATCTCAAATAATTGTAGGATCCCTTGGATTATTGATTCTGGTGCTTCTGATCATATGACCAGCATTTCCTCTCTGTTTAGCTCTTATGACTTACTTTCTGGCCATGATAAGATTACCCTAGCTGATGGCTCTCTTTTTCCCATCTTTGGCAAGGGAGTCATCAAGGCCACAAACTCCCTTTCCCTTACATTTGTCCTTCATGTCCCTAGACTGCATAGCAATTTGATGTCAATGAGTAGCCTAACTATATCCTTAAACTGCAGTGTAACCTTCTTTCCTTCTTATTGTGTTTTTTAGGACCTGAAGTCTTAGAAAGTGATTGGGAGTGGCCATGAGKCGAATGGGATATATCTGCTAGATACTACTGGACAAAGCCAAGGACAACCTGAAAGAATTGCTTTTGGGTCTACTTCTTCAGAGTTTTTTAGTCGTGTCATGTTATGTCATTTTCGTTTGGGTCATTTATCCTTTTCTGCTTTGAGTCATTTATTCCCAGAGTTGGTTAAGGGAATTAACTTGTCTAGTCTTCATTGTGAGTCTTGTGAGTTATCAAAACATTGTAGAAGCACTTATCCTTTAAGTAATAAGAGATCCACTTTTCCTTTTCATATTGTGCACTCTGATGTGTGGGGGCCATACCACTTGCCCTTCTATGGGTGGTTATCGATATTTTATCTTGTCCATTGACGATTTTTCTTGGTATACTTGGTTATTTTTTATGAGATCTTGTGATGAAGTTCCCAAGCTTATAAGACAATTCCATGAATTTGTTCTTACCCAGTTTGATACAAGAATCAAAATATTTTAGGTCTAATAATGCAAAAGAATACTTTGAGAAACACCTCACCTCTTATCTCACTAACTTTGGGGTCATCCACCAGAGCTCTTGTGTTCGTACTCCAAAACAAAATGGATAACTGAGAGGAAGAATCACCACATAGTTGAAGTAGCAAGAAGCATTTTTTTTGCCTCACATGTTCCTACAAAGTTCTGGGGGGATGTTCTCACTGCAACATACCTAATCAATCGTATGCCATCTAGAGTTTTGGGCTTTAAGTCTCCTTTGAACCTTCTTTATCTAGATAAGGACCTTTTTTCTCTTCTCCTTTGTGTCTTTGGCTGCACCTGTTATGTACACATTTCTAGTACCCGGAGACATAAATTTGAACCAAAGGCCCATAAGTGTTGTTAGTGTCGAGTATGTAGGGGTATTTCTATCTTTATACTTATGTTGAGGTTACTGATGTGTAATATTATGTTAGAACTAGTGTTCCTCACTTAAGTAGGAGCACGTGTGTCTTTTCCATT